GGCAAGGTCCCCAGTAGGGGGCGCGTGAGAGGCAACCACACATTGACGTTTCCCTCTTTCTCCCTCCCTTCCCTTCTCTCTAAAATAATAAAATATTTTTTAAAAAAAGAAAAAAAGTGATTTAAAATAATATCAAAAAAGAATAAAATACTTAGGAATTAACTTAACCAAGGCAGACTTAAACACTGACAACTATTAAACATTCTGAAAGTAAAGAACAAATAAATGGAAAGACAGCCTGCATTCATGGACTGGAAGACTTTGTATTGTTAAGATTTTTAAGACTATCCAAAGCAATCTACGGACTGAATGCACTCCCTACAAATATTCCAATGACATTTTTTGCAGAAATATAAAACGAATTCTAAAATTCACATGGAATCTCCAGGACCCCTGAATAGCCAAAACAATCTTGAAAAAGAATACAGGCCTCAAACTTTCTTTTTTCATAATGTATCACAAAGTTACAGTAATTAAAACAGTGTGGTATTGGCATTAGACATTTAGACCACCGACAAAGAATAGGAAGCCTACAAATAAACCTTTGCATATTTAGTCAAATTATGTTCTGCAAGGATGCCAAACCACTCAATGGAGAAAGAGCAAGTCCTTTCAACAGATGGTGTTGGGAAAACTGTATGTCCACATGAAAAAGAATGAAGTTGGACCCTTACCTTACAACACGTACAATATTAACTCAAAATGGATCAAGAAGGGGAAGGGGTGGATGGAGGTTAAAGAGGGCATAAGAGGGATAAAGAGTAAAAATACGATAAAAAGTAACTATTAAAAAATGGATCAAAGACTTGAATGTAAGACTTAAAACTATAAAACTCTCGGAAGAAAGCACAGGGGAAAGCTACATGATGTTGGATATATGTAGCTATACTTTCTTGCATATGACATTATAAACATACGCAACAAAGAGTAGAGTGAACTAATCAAAACTTAAAAGTTTTGTGCACCAACAGACAGTATCAACACAATGAAAGGCAACCCATGGAATGGAGAAAATATCTGCAAATCATATGTCTTGTAAGGGGTTAAAATCCAGAGTATATAAAGAATTCCTACAGCCCAACAAAAAAAAGCAAACAACCAATTTGAAAAATGGGCAAAGCATTTGAGTAGACATTTCTTCAAAGAAGATATACAAGTGGCTAATAAACAAGCACAAGAAAAGATGTTCTCAACATCACTAATCATTAGGGAAATGTAAATCAAATCAGTGAGTCAATACTTGACACCCTTTAGGATGGCCACTATTAAAAAAACAGAAAGTAGTAAGTATTGATGAGGATGTAGAGAACTCAGAACCCTTGGAATATAAAATGGTACAGCCACTGCCCTGACTGGCATGGCTCAGTTGGATGGGCATCATCCTGCAAAGCAAAAGGTCGCCAGTTCATTCCCAGTCAGGGCACATGCCTGGGTTGTGGGTTCAGTCCTGTTGGGGCGCTTATGAGGGGCAACCGATTGATGTTTCTCTCTCACATCAATGTTTGTCTCCCTCTCTTTCTTCTTCCCTTCCCCTCTCTCTAAAAATAAATTTATAAAAATTAAAATAGTATAGTTACTATGAGAAACAGTATGACAGTCTCTCAAAAAAAGAAAAATAGGATTACCATATGATCCAGCAATTTCACCTTTGGGTATATACCCAAAAGAATTGAAATCAGGGACTTAAACAGTATTTGTATACTAATATGAAAAGCAGCATAGCCAAAATGTGGAAGCAACCCAAGTGTCTATGGGTGTATGAATGAATAAACAAAATACGGTATAGACATACAACAAAATATTTAGTTCTGAAAAGAAATTATGATACATGCTACAACATGGATGAACCTTGAGGACATTACACTTAGTAAAATAAGTCAGTCACAAAAAGATAAATACTATATGATTCCATTTATATGAGGTACCTAGAGTAGTCAAACTCACAAATACAGAAAGGAAATAAATGGTAGTTGCCAGAGCCTGTTAGCAGGGGTAATGGGGAATGTCTGTCTAATGAGTATAGAGTTTCAATTATGGAAGATGAAAAAAGTTCTTGAGATGAGTGGATGTGATTGTTGTACAACAATGTGAATATACATAATACCACTGAACTGTATACTTAAAAATGTTTAAAATGGTAAATTTTATGTTATATATATATATATATATTTTTTTTACCACAATATTTATAAAAATCCACTTATCAGAACAAAATAAACAATATACCCTATCCCCAAGATTTTCATCCACTGGGCTATTATCATATGTTCTGTGAGGAGAGTAATTCATTCATCCATTCATTCAGTAATATCATGTGCCCATGCATGGTTTAAGGTTCTTGGACTACATCAGTGAATACAGAGATCCAGATTCCTGTGGAACTTAAAATCTAGTAGAAGAAGAAGATAGATAAAAGAAAAACAGAGTAATTTATACAGTATGCTGGGAAGTAAGTAACCATAATGAAAGGAGGAAGCGTAGAGAACAGTAGGCAGGAGTGCTGGGGCGGGCGGTAGTGCTTGCAAAAAATGTTAAATAGGGTGGCCGAGTCAGCCTCCGAATAAATACCAAAATGTCAGAACAGTGACATTTTGGCGAAGATTTGTTAGAGGTAATGGAGGACATCACATGGATAGATGAAGAAAGATCATCCGAGGAAGAGGGAGCAGTTAAGGGCAAAGAGCCTAAAGAACACCAGCCCATTGTTTGAGCAACAGGACAAAGGCCAGCGTGGCTGGAGCAGAGTAAGTAAAGGGAATGCTGATGAGATATTATTAGAAAGTTATAGGCCACGGTAAGGCTTTCACTGGATATAATTTGAAGACAGAGACATATTTCCTTACAAACTAGGGAAAGAGTGTTAGAAAAAGAAGAACCAAGGATGACTTTGAGGTTTCAGGTTGTAGCAATATTAAAGATGAAATTGCCATGAATTAAGATGGAGAAAGATTTAAGAGAAGCAGGTCTGGGAAGGGAGAGTAGATGTTTGGTGCTATTAGACATGTTGTGTTAGATATATCTAGCAGATAATTTCAGTGGAGATGTCAAAAGGTAGTTGAGTCCAGAGTTCAGGAAAAAAGTGTGACTAGAGCTATACATCAGCATACAGACAGAAAAAATCAGCAAAGGAGACACAAGGAATGATGAAAGACGACAGCAGAAAACCAGAGACCTCAGATGGACCCTCTAGGTCCATCCATTACTCCGTTTTTAACTTGGTGAAACAGCTCCATGTGTAAAAATTAAATGAGACCACATATGGAAAAATGGTTAGCACATGGAGTGCTACACTTACACAAGTGCTCAAAAAATGGTATCATTATAATTATGATTAATGAGAATAAATCTTAGCCTCCTGCCAGGCAATTATAGTTATTTATTCTACCACTTTACTAGAAATGAGCTTGAAACTGGAACTGAAGGAGAGAAACAAAGGCAACAGAAACCTTCTACAGTAAGATTGCAACCTACCACTTCAGCCTTAACCTTACTCTTCCTATGTTGGATTTTTCTTTGAACATGCCCTATGCTCATTCTTTGCTCATGTTACTCTCTTTGCTTTATTTACATAGTCTCTTTCCATAACTACTTATTAAAAATCCTAGCCCATTCTTTCAAAGCATATCACAAAAAACACCTTCTGCTTTAAAAATCACTCATGATTTACCCTTAATGGAAGTAAGCTCCCTTTCCTTTGAATTTTTACAGTTTTAATGAACTCTCATGGCACTTACCATTGCTCAGTGTGGGTAACTGAGAGTTAATTATAAACTTATTAACCTTTCATTTTATTTTCTTAGGTTATTCTTTCTAATTATATAATATTCCTAGCAATATATTAATTTCTCAGTTCAATAAGGAGAGTCTAAAAAAGTACATGTATTTTTAAAAAATATAATTTAACCACTGTTACTACAATAAGTCTTTTAGAAATCATATTTGCTGTCATTCTAAATTTTGGTTTAAATCAATACTCTGTACTACATTAAATCTTGTTTTCCTCACATCTGCTTTTATATTCACCATTCTTGCTACTCAGGTTGGAAGTAAAATTTCAACCAAAAAAATAAAACACAGCGCTAAATCCCATCTTGTTACAATTTGTAAAGTACAAGAAATCCAAATTGTAAAGGTATTTCTACTTTCTTTCTCTATGCTCATAATCCTTAATTTGTCTCCATCAACAAAAGTGTACTGCATAACTTACCTTATTTCTATCTGAAAAATAAGGCATTCTATTTTCAGCATGATACTGAATTATTTATTTGTTTTCGTTTACTCCCCTCTAATTCCCAGCTTTCCTACATAATAGCTGCTCTGTTTGTTTTATTTTTAAATGAATAGTGAGAGAGAAGGAGAGTTAGTTAAGAAAGCTTTTAGATTCTGTCAGACTTAGGTCTGAATCTAGGATTCAACTTGGCTCAAATATAGTAAACTGTATATCCTTAATTAAGTTACTTGATCTTCTGGTCTTCAGTTTCCTGATCTTTAAAATAGGAATATTACTAAGGTTAATAAAAGGATAAATGGAAAATTAGAGACCATGAATAAAGCATGAGAACTGGATGCTAAAATAACATCTAGCTTTTCTCTGTGTTATTACAGGATGCATCCACTACCTGGAAAGCTATTACCATAATTTATTAGAAGCCACTAGTTTTTAAATTTAGGCCAAGACCCGTAAGAGTCAGTGCTGACTTTGAAACTGTAAAGCAACATTCCTTTATATGAAAAAAAATCTGTATTGGTTTTACTGATATTGGCTACAGTACATATTCTAGTAAGATCTTCAACATGAACAAAAAATGAAATATTTAAGAAAAGTAGAAAACGATACACGAACACTTGTCATCATCATCATTATTGGTAGATTGTAATTGGGTATAACTATGCAATAATTTTAAAGCCACACATATATAAATAGGACAAATACATCTGGAGACCAAAGAAAAGAAGCTTAAAGAAAATGGTGATGTTTACCGTTCAAAGAAATGGTTTACCTGAATCACTAGCTGCAACAACAACCGTTCCACCAGGAGCAAAAGGATCATTGTGTTTCAATGTTTCTACCTAAACAAATTACACAAAACCATGAGTGAGTGAGGCAACATTCCATAGCTGAAACCTCATTGCCATAACAAAAGAAAATATTCTTTACAGATTCTAAATTCATTAAGGAATACAAGGCATTAGGAACAATGTTTCCCTAATTTGCAATCTTATTAAATCAAAATGATACATAAAACTATATGACATATATACAGTTTAACAAATAAGTATCAAGTGAACGCATATGGTATCACCTCCCAAGAAACTGTCAGCACCTCAGAAGTCCTGATGTGCTTCTCTCCAATCACAGTCCCATGCCTCCCATGCAGAGGTAATTATAATCTTGACTTTGGTGGTTTCATTTCTTTTTTCTTCTTAATTTTGCTACTTGTATAGATGCACACTATTTAACTTTTTACTTTGAAAATAATTTTAGATTCCTAGAACAACTGTAAAGATAATACAGAGATTTCCTATATACCCCTCCGTCCAGCTTTCTCTAATGTTAATATCTCATATAGTCACAGTACAGCTATTAAAACTGCAGAATTAATTCTGGTACAAAACCATGGACTTAATTTGGATTTCACCAGTTTCTCCATTAATGTCCTTTTCCTATTCCAAGATGACGTGTTGCATTTAGGATGCATACTATTCTAACTCTTATATATCCTAGTATTTAATATCAGAAAATGCTAGATTTCCATTTTCTATTTGTTATCTAAAAACAATTTAGCATTCTTCTCCTTAAACAAAACATGCATTTGTGCTTTGGGGGGAGGAATAGAGAGGGGGCAGACAGAGTGGAGAGAGAGAGAGAGTAGCGGGGGGGGGGAGAGAGAGAGAGAGATACTGATTCCCGATAAAAAGATTCTGCTATTTTCAAATAAGCCATGTATATAAAACTCTGGATCAAGTTTAAAGGGCGAGTAGCTGCAAAGAGTGAGCACTTTCTCCAGCAGCCAGTTGTCTTCCTGCTTTAGTTTTTAATCACAGTCAAACAAATTGTCTATTTAGGAAGACAACTGAGCTTTTTCTTTCTGATATATTTTTAAGAGGCCATCCAAAAGCCTTGGCAAACAAGTGAAAAGGACATGAAAGAGTTTTGCAATATTTATCTCCTACTCTGACTCATCTATTTCCAATCATCAAGAAATTGGATATTATAATTGAACGTCAAAGAACAATGCAGAGCTCGATTTATAAATTCCCAAGTAAAATAAATACATTTGAAAAGAGAAAAGAAATGCTGAGAATTATATTCTCTTTATAAACGAGGATCCATTAAAATTATGAGCAGAAAGAATACTAATGAAGTTTTGAAACTGAAAATGATAGTCCTTATTTTAACTGCTCCCAATGATATTATTTATAAAACTAGCACATTAGCTTATACTCTGATTACATCTGCTGAGTGAATAAACAGCAATCAAAGAAAAAAAATAAGCTGGTCTGTACAGTAAATGACTTTCCATGGTTCCTAATATCAGTGTGAGAGACAGTCACTGACATGATAACTTAAGTCACCAACTATTAATTTCTTCTTCTCTTGACTTTGAGGGAAGGAAAAAGAAGCAGGCCTGGCTTTTAATAATAGCTTACAGGTTCTGTGTACCATTACGGAAAGAAATAGAAAAAACATGCCTACATGCGTGTCAGGTTTAAGTTCTATTCCTTCATGGTACACTGTGGACCACTCAAAAATGCCTCTCTAGAGAAAGGGGAGAGAATGGACATGTAGCTCTTGAAGGAGTAAGAAAGTCTCTTTATGTTATGGTCAGTTTGATAATTAGGCAATTTAGTACAAAACATTTTCAGAACTAAAATTCATGTTCCAAAATCCTCAAAGAAGGTCATCTAAGTTATTAAAATTCTCTCTCTTCTGCATCAGCCATCCACTCCTCACAGTGACAGTGTGGCGTAGCACCTATGCAATGCTGCCATACACTGGCTAGGACAGTAGGAAACGGCAGTTGTTTGTTTTGGTTTGGTTTTAACATTATGTCCCTTTGAGAACAAAGACCATCCTTGAGGGAATAGGAAAAACTTTTGGGGAGAGACTCATGAATAGAGGAATAATCAGGGGCCTGTTTTGCTTTTTTTTTTTTTAAGTAAGATCACAAAATCAAGAGGTTTTGAGCTACAAAGAAATGAAGTTCAACTTTAGACTATAGTGGTGAAGACCTTAAAGATTTTTGATCAAGGTTTGAATTCAGTTCTGTCATTTACTAACTTAGTACCACGTAACCTCTCTAAGCCTCATTGACTTTATCTTAAACACAAGGATAACAGCATGAGCCTCATAGGATTACTGTGAGGACTAAATGAGGAAACACATGAAAAGAGCTTAGCACCATGCCTGGTACATAAAAAAGATTAGATGAATAACTATTCTTATATTGCCAGTTTGTTTTCTTGTTTTGTTTTGCTTTTAATGGAGAAATTAAGAGCTGTCAGCAAGGGCAAGCCGCTTTCAAAAACTGGGAGGAAAGAGAAAAAGTAAGTAGAACAAATGGCCGAAAAATTTCACCAGTGTAGAGGAACTTTGTTTATTTTTAAAGTAGAAAGAGCTGCTTTAGCTTTCTTGTTCTTTAACTGATACAAGTAGAGGATGAGAGGGTAGAATAAGGTGAGAGGAAAAGAATTCAGGTTGCAGCCAATTTAAGAAGAATTTGGCAAATGGATCTACACTGTAAATATGCGCTGTAGGAAAACACAGTATCCAGTAGCCTGTGGAAACCACAAATATTCAGTTACGGAAGCATTTGCTCAGTTTTACATCAATGGAAAATACCAATTCCTGGCCAAATAGCTCCTGACCAAAGACAGTAAGGAAACAATTCAAGAATACCAAAATCTATTATTACCTTTTTAAAATAAGTATTCTTTTAAAAAATTTTTATTGAATTTATTGGGGTGACATTGGTTAATAAAATTATATAGCTTTTACTTGTACTAATTTATAATACAACTATATATTGTATTATGTGTTCATCACCCAAAGTCAAGTCTCCCCTTTACCCCCTTCTACCTGCTTTGCCCTCTGCCCTTTGGTAATCGTCATACTATAGTCTGTGTCTATGAGGGTGATTTTTTTTTTTCCTTAAAAAGGTTGATTCTTTTTTTCTTTTTAATTATTTATTTATTTTTAGAGAGAGGGGAAGGGAGGGAGAAAGAGAGGGAGAGAAATGTCGAACAGGCCGCCTCTCGCATGCCCATGGGGACCTGGCCTGCAATGCAGACGTATGCCCTGACCAGGAGTTGAACCAGCAACCTTTAGGTTCACAGGCCAGCACTCAACCCACTGAGCCACACCAGCCAGGGCGAAGGGAGTATTCTTAATCTAAGAGTATTAAAGACAAGATATTTGCTTCAAATGCCTGACACTCAATTGATCCTTTCTGGGTCTGGTTTACTTATAAATATGAAACTCCTGCCTCAAAAAATAACCCTCCACATAAAAATTTTAAAAGAACTCTAAAATTACTCATAATTATTAAAATTGGATGGCAGATACATGAAACTGTGTTAGAATATTTCATTGCATTATTCTTTTGAATATGTTTAAATACCCATGATATAAAGATTTTGTTTTTAAAGCCTCCAAATGATAAAAAACTTGGTTGTATGACCTTGGTTATGTTCATTTTTCTCGGTCCCAGTGTTCTAATTGTTAAAATAGAAACACCAACGCCTGCTTTGCAAGTTGATGTTAAGATTAGGAACAATGAATGTAAAACACACAAGAAGTATCTGATGATACAGTATGTGGTTATAAAGTAGTGATTGTTGTATTACATACGTTCTTAGGACTCTGACATTTAGTGGGAATTTGCACTTCTTTACAAGATTAACATCCCAGATGTGTCTATATAATAACATAAATGATTTTATTTTTCTAAAACATCAATTTTGTTCCCTCTAAATTGATTTTCATTATTTTAATAATGCATACCAAACATTTCTGAAAACCTTTACTTAAAATTGGTATATGGATTTCTAATCATTTATTTTAATATCCCCAATGGGACAATATTTGGTCCTTTGAAGGGGAGACTTGATTTTTGGATGACATAAAGTTATTCTAATTAATTCCCACAGGTGATCAAGCTGTAAAATACTGCTCTGAACCAAAAACTAAATGGGTTAAATGAAACTAGAAATTTTATACAGTCCAAAGTTACCTAAAATAGAGGTGAGTTTCAAGAAACTCACTTAGAACACTCGTTACCCATTTAACAGCTTTTAAGCCTCTCACTTACGGATGTATTACTGCTATTGCTGGCTGCACTGAAAGGATCGGCACTGGAAGCAGCAAAAGGATCGGCAGAAGACTGCTTGAAGAAACAGTCAGATGCAAATGGGTCTGAACCTTTGAAAGGATCACCTCCAAATGGATCTAAGAAAATACAGCACAAACATGAGTGATTAAAACTCTATTACACTGAATTTCCTGTCCCCTGAAGGCATGACAACTGCAGTAATAAAAAGACATCTTAAACTCCTGAAGAATCTAAGTTAGGTACTTTCTATTATTTCTATTGATCTTAAAAAGTATAGACTGTGCCATCTAGTTAAACAGCTTTAATTAACACTTTTTCCTACTTGTTCACCATTCACCCAAAGGACACCAATTTCCAACACTTAACTACTCAAATGTTTTCTGCATGCTAGGTTTACATAATACTTCTAAATTGGTTCTAACTGGGAAAGGGAAATCACAAATTCTGTTACAGTTTTAATAAAAGATAACAGCCTTTCACCTAATGAACTTATTCTTTTTTTAAATTAGCATATAATTTCAAGGGATCCCAATTTTAAGACCTGTACTCTATGCTATCATTAACTAAAGAAATAACAACAAAACCCCTAAATATATTTCTTCCTCTGAGCTCAAAGGTAACAGCCAATACTTGGGAACAAGTTTGCAAAGCATAACTAAATGGAACAAAAGATTTGTTTTATTCAAAGGCAAAAATCTTAGAAAAAGAATCTTAGAAAGCCTGACATTTAGTAATTCTTTAAGATGTTTCCTTTTCTTCCATTTATTGGAATACCCTATAATCTTAGGAAAACAAAAGTTCTAAACCCTGTACTAGTGTAACTTCTTATACTCACCAAACCCTTGACTAATAAGGAGAAATAAGTGTAAATATTACTAAAAAGCATCATCTTTTAAAAAGTAAAACTAACAGTTAAGTAAATTCATGAGAATCTATCACTTTTCTCTCTGAAAATGCCGAGTACATACAACATCTTAGAAGGACCTTAGATCTGTTTCAAAACTAAATAAAAAAGAAGTCTATTTCCTATAACAAGCCCATTTACTATAACTACGAAACTGTGATCTCTTATTTCTAAATACAACATAAGCTTATAATTAAATAGAATCAAACTAAAGCTAAGATGGACCTCAATAATATACTGACCAATTTTCCCAAAAGGATCATCCTTGAAAGGATCACCTGTGATAAAATAAATAAGCAGAAATCAAAATAATAATATTCACTATTGTGGCGCCATTACTTAAAGGTAATTTTAAAACAAAAGCAAAGGTTCTTAAAGCAAAATTTGTTTCATTAACTCCACCTCAAAATAGATAACAATGAGTGCTATTCACCTTTAGGAAATGTTAAAATAATAAAGTGTAAAGGCAGAACATCAACACACCTCATAAAAGAGGCAAATCTGAATTACAGCCAACTATACTTACTTCATAGGACAGGCATGACAGCAAGAATTTTACTAACAAAATCTCTACTCTTCACAACAGTATGGAAGGGGTATTATAACCTACTTCAAAAACAGGCACTGAACTTCACCGAAGTAAAAAACAAAAAAAAAGTTCTTACAGAATTAAGCCTAGAAATAAACCCTTACATTTATGGTCATTGGGTTTTTGACAAGAATGCCAAGATATTAATTAAATGGGGATAGGATGATCTTTTCAACAAATGATGCTGGGACAACTGGATATCCACATGCAAAAGAATGAAGTTGGACCCCTATCTCACAGCATATACCAAAATTAACTGAAAACTGATCAAAGACCTAAATGTAACAACTAAAACCATAAAATTTTAGAAGAGAACATAAGAGCCAATCTTTAAGACTTTGGACCTTAGATATTACATCAAAAGCATAAGTAACAAAAGAAAAAGATGAATAAATTAGACTTCATCAAAATTAAGACAACAAGGAATATAAGAAAGTATCTGCAAATCATATATAATATATGATTCAGGACTTGTATTCAAAACAAGTAAAGGACTATAAAGAACTCTTACAAGACAGGAATAACATGATATACAAATAGCCAATAAGCTCACAAAAAGATGTTAAAAAACACTAGGCATTAGGAAAATACAAATCAAAACCACAATGAGATACTGTACAATATAAGATGAGTGAACCTTAAAAATGTTATGCTAAGTCAAAGAAGCCAGACATAGAATGCATGTTATAAATATGCAAATCTACAGAGACAGAAAGTAGATTAGTGATTACCTAGAGCTGGGGGTTAGGAATAGAAAGTGACTTCTAATGGGTATAGAACTGCTTTATGGGGTGACCAAAAATGTTCCAAAATTAGATTTTGGGGATGATTATACAACTCTGTGAATATACTATAAGCATTTAATAGACTTAACTGTATACTTTAAAGGTTCAATTTATATACCTTTTAACACTTTTCTATATCTCAGTAAGATTTCTTTTTAATAAAGATTATATTTATTTTTAGAGAGAGGAAGGAAAGGAGAAAAACAGGAAGAGAAACATCAGATTCTTGCACGCCCCAACTGGGGACCTGGCCCCCAACCCAGGCATGTGCCCTGACTGGGAATCTAAGCAAGTTATTCTATGTGCCTCAGTTTCTCATCTTTAAAACTGATATAAACTGACCTATCAGTTTCACAAGGTGACTTTAGAAATAAATAAAATGCAAAAAGAGCTTTAGCACAAGTAGTATTTAGCATAATTTACAGTAACATCAGATATTTTTTTCTAAATATTTTTATTTTATTTTTTAAAAAATTACCTTTTAGTCCCTTTATACTCCCCTTCCCCCCAGCAATCAGATGTTTCTTCAGTAAGACTGTAGGTACCTTAAGGGCAGGGATCAGGCTATTATCAACTACAGCTTCCACTGTTTTAAAAGCATGGTATTGGCACTTTCAGTAAATAATGGCTGGCTGACTTAAAAGTACTCAACCTCCTCTCCTTTTAATCCCTTCTCTGAAGAAGAAATGTACTTATTCATGGGTTCCTAAGACATAATCAAAGACTTAGTCTTAGGATTTAGTTGCCTAAAGGGGACAAATACTAAAACCTGAGGATTTAAACCTTACTCTCCATTCTACTTTTGTTATAACAAGTAGGTTCTCAAAATTGAAGCCCTAATTCTTATACAGTTTTTACACTTAAAAGCCTTTTTTGGTAAACCTTTATTATAAAAATAAGAATACTTACTGCCAACAAAAGGATCAGACTGAAAAAAATCCAAGTTTGTATCTGCAACTGGATCTGTCAGTGAACTTGATTCTACAGTAAAAGGATCTTCCTAAAAATAATTTTCAATAAGAAAAAAATTGTATGAATCAAAATTTTAAAAGTAACATTTTAAAATAACATGCTTTGAAAAATCAACAGATGGTAATATAACAAATATTTCTATGGCATAAGTTCATTTAACACATTTTTCTTCTCCCTTAGCTTAAAATAGTATAGAATCTTTCTTGGGAAACCAGCAATAAGAACATTTACCTATAAAATTATTTTTTACCTCTTTTGAATGACTGCCACTGTTGACTTGAGGACAAACTTTTTCATTAACAGCTGCAGTCACCATTTCATTTTCATCAATAACACCGGAAGGCAGTATTTCAGGACTACTTCTTGCCTATGAAATATTAAGGCCACATGGACTCACAATGTATTTTCTACTTGGCAGAGGAAACTAACAAAGAATAACCAAAAATTACTAGAAAATAAAAAGAGAGCAGAACATATACGCTGAATGACTTCTATAACATTTCTTGGGAAAATGGTATCACTGATTATCAAGGTCACTCAGGTCTTCCTTAACCACTTCCCTTCGGTCATTCCTCAGCTAGACTCCATGTCTTACTGAATCTACCTCCTACCTCTTTCTCAAATTCCTTCCTTCTTTTCCATGCTCACTATCACTATCATCTGTTTATATCATTTCTAGTCCAAATCACCTTTCAATTGTTTTTGTGCCTCCAATAGGTGCCCCTTCCATCCTATCCCCCCTATAATAGTCAAAGTAATAGATCAAAAAATGTGATTCTAATCTTAACCCTTCTGGTTAAGTCTCTCAGTGGCTTTCCATTGTTTTTTGGATTTATACCAGTATATAATTAGGCTTAAGAAGTGGCAGGGGCATCCTGGTCAGGTAGCTCAGTTGGTTAGAGCATTATCCTGATACACCAAGGTTGTGAGTTCGATCCCTGGTCAGGGAACACGAGAGAAGCAACCAATGAATGCATAAACAAGAAGAACAACAAATCATTGTTTCTCTCTCTCTATAATCAATAAATTAAAAAAAAAAAAAAAGAAGTGGCAGAGGCAATCTCCATTTAACACCACCCTTTGTCTTTGAAGGATGGCCTAGTAATTTTACCTTTTGTGCTTAAAAGAATATTCTATAATGTGTCCAACACTGTGCTATTTAAATACAATCAAGTCTGTTCTCTCAAATCTATACTCTTCTTATGCCACCTATTACCGCTTAAGTTTAGTCTAAAAAACCATCACACAGACCATTCCAATAGTCTTCCTAATACGTATCCAGTCCCACCCTCCAATCCATTTCCTACATTCTTCTCAAAGGTAAATTAAATCCTGTCCCTTCTTGCTTAAAATTCTTAAAACAGCTACTCACTGTAGCATGATAAATTCTTCAATGCCTCAAGATAAATCTAAATTTCTTATTCTCTGGCTCTTTTTGACCTAAAGGTGGTCATTTTAATCCAGTTACACATCACAATCACCCAGGGAATTTGTTTTTATAAATATGTGTACCTGCCTCGAAGCCAGAAACTCTAGCTCACCAAGTTCAGAGTGGGGTGCAGGCATCTACACATTGATAAAGTACCAGAGGTAATGCAGGTGCCATAGGACAGAGCCGCACCTCCTACGAACACTCTGTCCACCATCACAAGATATCCTCCGAGACCTCCCCATGACCCTGCGCAGCATGTTTTCTCCCGTCTCATCCAGATGTTAATGCTGTTTCTCTTCTGGGAATGTACCACCTTCTACTTTGCTTAGTAACTCCTATCTCACTTTGGAGGTCACTTGTAGCTTTCCCTACAACATCTTCTCTGAGCCCCTTCCAAGCTGAGTATCCCATGCTTCCTTTGTCAAAGCCCTTTCATACAGTGTTACAGCACCCGACTGTACGCTGCCTGAAGGCAGCGTTCTTGTCTTTTGTCTCTGTAGCTTGCACACATACCACAGCAGCACTCTTGCACTTAGTTGGTGCTCTCTAAATAACTGGTAAATTAATGTCCTCAATAATAAGAAATAAAGAATTACTTTCAGCTTTGGGTGAGGGTATCTAAAAACAGTTTTAAAATGTTATTATCTATAGAACTACTGTTTTGAAAACATGTTATATAATAAACAGACCAGTTAAAATAATATTTTTAAATTGTTAAAACTCTTAGCACTGTTAAATCAGTAACCACTCTCAGAAGAAAACCATCTCAACTTTACTCAGATGAGGCAAGGTCACATATTTATATCAGGCATGATGTCAACAAAACTTTAATCTGCATCAATTTTTTTTTCTGAGGTTGACTGTGAAGGCTGTGCAACTATCAGACTCACTGGAGACTCCTGGTGTATAGGCTCAGACTCCAGCGCACTCTGGCCGTCGGCGTGCTCGCTCAGGTTGGCTGTTTCACTGCTGCTGGTGCTGAGGCTGCAGTAATCTGTAGCGCCATTTACGAGAATGCTGTGTGGGCTACTGCACCAGTTTAGTTGATTATTATGGTTTTCCAGCTCTTTCATCTCCATCAGTTTCATTTGCATCTGTCAATACAAAGTACAAAACAGAATTTATTACCCAAAGACATGCAATGTAAAAGTGGCTATACCCCTAGACTTGGTCAAGGATAAATTTGCTTCCGCAAGGAGAATACACTAGGAATGAAGCATGACTCAGAGATATCAGTAATTCATCCCAGTAAGTTCTCCTCCTGAAATTCCAGTACATACGGATTTGCTTTTGTACACCTTTTGAAAGCCCTAAGAATTTTGATTTAAATATCTGCAAATTAGCAGTCCTTTATAGGGTATAATTTAAAAAGGAAGGGTCAGGGTATTGGAGAAAAAGAGAGCAAAGTGACAGAGCAAGAGAATGTTTTGTGGTGAAGCTTTAGAAGAGATAAAGAAAGTTGAGGGAGAGTACACAAGGCTTTGGAGTCATCCATACTCCTGTTGTGAAGGAGAGGAGTAAAGACAAAGATAAAATGAGCTCTGGGATTTCTTACTAATGGGCTAGAGTTCTAGGAAATAGCCTCTAAATCTAAGCTATGCCAAACATGCTAAATAAAAGGCACTCAAAGTTTTCTTGATCCCAGTATCCAAGTGACTTTATACTTCTGGGACAGGAGGTAGAAGTCAATAAATTTTAATACACACACACAAATGTTGGGGCCCAGTGGCAAGAAAAAAATGCGTATTTATATTAACATCTTTAAAGAAAAATAAATTTACAAACATCTTTAAAAAACTGAGATGGTAGAGTAAGAAAATGTTTCTTGGTCAAAATAATCTAATTTTTCATAAAGTATATGTATTTTAAATGACATTGGAATTCCCTTTATTACCATGCTATGCTTGTTTTTAGCAAACATAAAAATGAACAATTGGCATTTCATAAATCAAGGCTCTGTTCACACAGCCTTATTTTCCCCCATAAGGTTTTTAAGTTGCTCAATTTGAAATCTGTAATTTACCACAGATCATTCTGAGTCATAACCTGGGGAAAGAACACCATTTTGGATTGGAAGACAAATGTAAATCTAGCTCTGTCACCTTCTAGTTAGACGATCTTACAATAACCACTCCAAGTCTATTCTTTAATCCAAAAGGGAATAACACCATCTATTATATGAAGCAAAAGATATATGAGACAACTCTGTAGAATGTAAAGGACTATGTAAATGACGGACAATGTAGCACACCACATTTCTCAAGCCTATAGCAATTTCTCCCCTTTATTCATTTTCTACTAATTCATGCATTTTTCAAAAGTTAAAGACTTTGAGCTCTTTGAGGGTAGAGGTCACAACTTTTGGTATCAACTTTGTATCTAACATCTAGCAAAATGATGCATTTAATCATGTTAGTGCAATGTTGTAAGTGCTTAATATATGTTCACTTAATGAACACAAGTATTGTGCTGATAAATTTAAACAGTGGGTATCAGGAAACATATCTATCAAATTGGATATTACACATTTGTAACACACAGCATAGATGTGCCTTGTATAGTCCTAGTGCTATAGAGCAGTGGCTTATAAACTTTTGTTTTTTAACCCGTAGAAAGAAATAGATTTTATATCCTAACTCAGTAAATATGTATATATTTGGATGTCTCTGTGTGTCTATGTATATATAAATATAAACATATATAAGATAGACACATACATAATCATATATAGTTTATATATATATGATTTTATACACACATACATATGTACATACAGTGGTGAAACAAGTTTCATAAAGTAATACTTATCCTTATTACATGTAATGCAGTCTGATGTTTCATATTCTCTCCAATTTTATGATAGGAGATAAAAATTTTTTTTATCATGATCATTGACAAAAATTTCAATACCCACAACAACCTTGCCATCAAAAATTTATAACATTAACACTAAAATAATACCCTTCTTGTAGATGAAGTAGTAAGTAGATAACACTAGCCTATTAAACAACTCTATTTAGGACAGTTTGTTTCTCATGGTTAGTTCTGAGACAATCAGTAGAATGTTGAACAGAATCAGGCACTCTTGTGCCTGGCTCTCTCATGCACCTATCACTAAGTCTATGTTCTTTCTTAGTCTCTAAGTAAACTTAAGTGATATTTAAAAAAAAGTAAGTCATGCAACACAAACTCACTGTGAATTGTGCAAGAAAAGTACAATAAGCTACTAGAACACCTTCAAAGTACTTGGAGAAAAGTAGTATATATCATAAGTACAATACATAGATTTAAGGTCAAAGGTTCTTTTCTTGCTACAAATACAAGGTAAGAAGAAAAGATGAAAATTCAGCAAGTCAGAAAAATTTTCTTCAGTTATTCCTTTTTTCCAGAAAAGCTATAGTTGAAGCTTTAGAGAGCAATGGAAGTCTCAGGCTAGTTTACAACCATATTTTCACTGTTACAGACCCATGGGAATACACTGCCCTCTGTGGGAAAGGCACAGAAGCCACTCAGTAAAATATAAGAAGTAGGCGTGTTTATTCTTAAGATTTGGAGATCAGATACAAGGATGTAATTCCTTCCACAGATACCAAACATATTCTGGCACACTTGGTAAGTATAGTTTACTGAGGCTCTCTTCCTTGCTCACAAACACTGCTTTATTTTCTGAACGATAATTTATAATACTGAGTCCTTTCTACTTTTCTTATTTATGCTCCTTCCTTTGAAAGAAGTCTCCTCTCAAAAAGTCAAAGAAAACAAAAAGACGAGCCAGAAATTGAGAGAAGTTATTTGCAAATCAAGTATCTGATAAAGGACTTATATTTCAAATATATTTTTTAAAAACTTGTAATTTAATAACAAGAAGAAAACCTAACTTTAAAAATGGGCAAAACATTTAAATAGACATTTCGACCAGAGATGTATGATAGCTAAAAAGCACATGAGAAGATACTTAACATCACAAGTGATTAATAAATACAAATTAAGAAAACACCATGAGATACCACATTGCACCTACTAGAATAACTATAATTTTAAAAACAGACAATGAAAGTGTTGGTAAAAATATGGAGAAACTGGAACCCTCAGATATTGCTGGTGATAATATAAAATGGTACAGCCACCTTGGAAACCAGTTCAGCAATTTAAAGTTAAAAAAAGGGGTGAGCATAACTTTACAACAGAAGTATTCCATACCCAAGAGAAATGAAAACACAAAGAATTATATGCAAATATTCCTAACAGTATTATTCATAATGACCCAGGAGTAGAAAGACTCCATATGTCCATTAACTGGGAATGAATAAATAAAATACCTATACATTTTCAGTGGAACAGAATGTTGATAAGATGCTACAACATGGATGAATCACAAAAACATTATAGCTTCCATCTGTTCAAATTCAAAATAAAATGGACTATGTCCAAAAAAAAAAAAATAAATGGAGCTACTTTAAATGGAGCCAGAGCTGCCATGCCAGAGGTACTGCTTGGCGTATCTTGTGCCTCAAACCTCTGGGCAACATAACCTTTGTACTGGGCCTAAGACAACACTGTGTCCTGAAGAACTGTTTTCAAAGATAACAAGAAAGCAGATATTGTGACTACTGGACTGAAAATTTCAAACAATATTTAAAATTAACATCACTGTGTTATGTTTATCTGCACCAACAGAAATGCCTTCCTTCTATTGATGTAATTGTGCTCCTCCTCTTCTCATAAATATCCATTTGTCTCCTAATAAGAACACTATATGGGCTTCTGCCTAAATCGGTGTGTCCTAAATGTCTGTTCTTACTGATCTCAAATAAATACTTTTTTTTGCCTCTCACTTTGAAAGGCCCTTTTATTTTTAACAGCTGTACGATCTCTATGCTCCTATCTAACCATCTTGCTATCTATCATTCTATAAAATACCCTCCATTTAGGAAGGCCTAGAAATAACAAAGCAAAGGATCGCTCAGGGGTATCCAACCAACCTGTGGTCCGCAGGCTGTGTGCAGCCCAGGACGACTGTGAATTCAGCCCAACACAAAATCAGAAATTTACTTAAAACATTATGAGATTTTTATTGTGATTATGTGTCACAATGTATTTAATGTGTGGCCCAAGACAACTCTTCTTCTTTCAGTGTGGTGTAGAGATGCCAAAAGGCTGGACAGCCCTGAATGGACACACTACAACACGATATATTTATCTATATAAAAACAATTTTCTAATTAAAAAATTAAAGGTTGCCAATAAGCAAAACTGATTTCAAAATTAGATTCACAAAAAGGGAGATGTTGGGCTATTTTTTTAATAAAAACAAGTAACACATTAGCATTTATGGATCAAACACTATGCTAAAATGTCTCACAAGTTTTGCCTCATTTAATCCTCACAGCAGCCCTGGGAAGTAGGGGTATTATTAATTCTCCACTTTTAAAGATGACGATCTGATGCTAAAGTGATTCAGGTAGTAAGTGGCAGAGCCAGCACTTAACCTAAACCATCTTAACCATGACTCCAATGATTATCATCACACGTACAAAATAAATGATAGTGTAACTTATGACAGGTGACAAGAAACTGCATCAGATGACTGAAAAATTGATCATAAACTAGGCAGAGAGAGAAGGAGAAGTTGAGAAATTATTATTTACTGAAAGGATATGCGGGGGCCCATTTGAGTATATTTCTTACTGCTCTAAAGACTTACTGAACTGACTTCCTGCTGTGAATCTTGCAGGTGCTGCTGAAGAGGTCCCAGCTTGGCCTTCCCTGACTCCACACTCTCCTCCAGTTCTGCTGTTTCTTGCTGTAGGCGATTGAGCTCTTCTCTAGCTTTGGCCAGCTCTTCTTCGTAAGTGGAGATCTGAGATTCTTGACTAGTTAACTCAGCTTTCAGGGATGAGATCTATAAGATGGAGGTAAATGAGAAGAAAAGGAGATATAAAAAGATGTCATTATAATATTCCATAATGTGTTTATTTGTTTAGTTTACAATTTTGCTATTTTTTGATGTAAAATTTTGATAGAAAAGAGCAATTAGAGAACAGAGGACAGCTAAAGGCACAAGTGTCATACTTCCAAATAAAATTTGGAAAAATAAATAGCTCACTAAGTACCCTATTTTCCCTAAAGAGGACCTGTTATTTCTGGATGAACCATGTTCCATTTCCTTCATGTGCCCAAAGTGTTGATTAGATTGCCACCTAACAACAGTGACAAGAAGAAACAGAGAATGTTTCCATTTTAAGCCAGGAAAGGGAACTTAGGCATAGATATGCAGCAGAAACCAGCCAGTCTTTACCAGCTGGGCCTCCTCAGCGCATTTCTTTCGGACTTCCTTGAGCTGCTCCTCCAGCTGGGCTTTCTGCTCGTCCAGGCCATCAAGGAGCTCCTGCACTTGCTGTTTCTGGGCCTGTAGTTTCTGCAGATTAGTATTCTCCCTTTGGACTTCATCTTGAAGATCCTGAAATACAAGAAAATGAACATATGCTCTTTGGAGGCAGGGGAAGGTTAAGACAACAATTTTTAAGAGCCTATCTTGAAGGAAAATCAAGTCTTGTCTTAGTAAGTATATTGTGTTGGAAGATTGAAGAAGGACTGGTAGCTTTAAATACAATGTTTACTTCTCCCTAGACTCAAGATTTAGGTATTCAATTTGCTTACCAAATCTGTCTGATGCATCCACTAACAAGTCAAAAACAGACCTCCTGGCACTCCACCCCTCAAATCTGTTTTAACCTCAATCTAATCCCCACCTTCAGTTTCTCTGACAAAACAAACAAAAAAGCACCATCATCTTCTCTGATGCTTCTTTCTCTAACATCTCAGCTCCAATTTGTCAGTTTGTATTCAGTACAGCAGCCACTGTTAAAAATCTATGTTAGATGGTGTCACTCCTTTAACTCGAAACTGTACACTGACTCCCCATCGCCCTCACTGTAAAAATCAAAGTCCTTATAATAGCCTTCAACGATCCCATCTCCCTACTTCATTTCCTACTGTTCTCTTCATGGCTTGTTTCATTTCAGTCATACTGGCCTCACTGCTGCTCCTCAAACATGCCAGATATGCTCTCTTCTCAGGATCTTTCAGTAACTACCCCGTTCCTAGAAAGTTCTTCCCCCAGGTATCCACATGGCTCAATCTCTCATCTCTTTCAAGTTTTGCTCAACTGTTACTTTGTCAGTGAGACCTTCCTCAGCACCAACACCTCATCTCTCCCCACCTCTAATTCTCCTGCATATACAGCATATGATTTTTTCCATTGCTTTTTAGGGAGGCAGGGAGAGAAAAACATCAATGTAAAAAAGAAACAGCAATTGGCTGCCTCTCGTACATGCCTGGACCAGGGATCAAGCCCACAACCTATGTATGTGCCCTGACCAGGAATCAAACCCACAACTTTCGGGCTACGGAACCAACCAACTGAGCCACACCAGCCAGGGCTATAGCATATGATTTTATTTACTTCCTGCAACAGCTTTGACATAGCTTACATGTCATATAATTCATCCATTCAAACTGTACAATTCAATGGTTTTTAATATGTTTACAAAAATGTGCAACCATCACCAACACAGTTTTAGAACATTTTCATCACCCTCAAAAGAAACCCCACACATTAGCAAGCCGCTCCCTATTTCTCTCCTGATCACACCAAATGGAACATACAACACGTAGTTATTTAGGACTGGCTTTTTTGTTGCTTTGCATGTTTTCAAGGTTCATCTACGTGGGCATAAAATAACTATTTTTAAAATCTTTATTAAGGTGTAATTTACATACCATAAAATCTGCCTACTTTAAATATACAATTTGTAAGTGTTAGTAAATTTATACAATTGAGCATCACCATAACCCAGTTTTAGAAGCCTGCAACACCTAAAATCTTCCCTCATACTTTTTCAGTCAATTCTCATCCTCATGTCTAGACCTAGGCAACTTAATGACCTGTTTTCTATCTCTGAAGTCTTGACTTTCACAGAAACTTCACACAAGTAGGATTATATAATATATACTTTACTATACTTGGCTTCTTACACCTAGTATAATATTTTCGAGATTCATCTGTGTTGTTGCACGTATCGGTAGTTTGTCCTTTTTATGGATGAGTAATATTCCGCTATATGAATATACATTTGATGGACATTTAGATTGTACCAGTTTTTGGCTCTTATCAATAACAGAGCATATAATTGATCTTGTTTATGGTTTTAATACTTCCACAGAATGTAAGCTCCATGAGTCCAAGGATATTTATAAGTTTTGTTCACTGCTGTATTCCCAATTCCCAGCATGCAAGAGGTACTCCATAAATATTTAGTGAATAATAAATGACATTATAAAGATGTCAGTTATCTCCTATCTATACATCCTATGAAAATTCCAACAAGGTTTTTTATGGAACCCAACAAGGTGATTCTAAAACATACATGGAAGAACAATGAAAAAAATAGCATTATAAAATGTAAAAGGGCTTACCCTACCCGATACTATGCATTATTGGGAAACTAAAATAATAAAGACAGTTTGGTACTGATTCAAGGACAGTCAAATAGACTAAAGGAACAAAAAAGAGAATTTAGATACTAATATAGGCATATACAAAAAAAATGATGAAAAGACATGTATTAAAATTGACTGGAAGAGAACTATTCAGTAAATAATGCTAGGCATATCCACATAGCAAAAAATAAAAAATAAATAAAAAATTAAGTCAGTCTCTAAATCATACCAATCAGAAAAATTAATTCCAGGTATATTATATACCAAAATATAAAAGACAAACTTTAAAATGTATAGAAATTAATACAGATCTCAGTGTAGGAAAGAACTTCTTAAAACAAACAAAAAATAAACCATTTTGAAAATGCTAGATTTATTCATTTATCTATGTGCCAGGCTTTATGCTTCATGATAAAGACTACAGAGATTTTTTTAAAATACAATTAGAAATCTCTGTACCTTCTGCTTAATTTGCTGTACACCTGAAACTTTTCTGAAATATAGTTTATTTCAAAAAAAGACTTCTGGTCAAGATGGTGGCATAAGTAAACACAGCTCACCTTGTCACACAACCACATCAAAATTACAACTAAAATATAGAACAACCATCACTAAGAATCATCAGAAATTGAGTTGAATGAAGGTCTGACAACTGTGAAATTAAAGAAACCACATCCATCCAGACTGGTAGAAGGGACGCAGGTGTAGAACGGGCTGGTCCCATACTCATATGCAGTGGATAAATATTCAGAAGAAATATCTTGGGAGTGAGGAGTCCCAGCCCCACACCAAACCCCCCAGCCCAGGGTTCCAATGCCAGGAAGATAAGTCCCCATAACTTCTGGCTGAAAAAGCAGGGACTGAGTCAGTGGAAGAAACTACTAGAGTCCCAAAGAGTTCCTATTAAAGAATCCACACACGAACTTACTGAGACTCACTCCCTCTGAACTCCAACACCGGGGTAGCAGCCTGAAAGGCACCAGAGGCATACAGGGAGGAACTGAAGCATCTGGCATCAAGATGAGAGCTGGGGAACATCTTTCTACCAGACAGAAAGGTGGGAAGAGGCCATTGTCCCTTTTCTGAACCCTCCCTCTATAGAGCCAGCAGGCTGGTGCCATACCTGAGACTCCATCAACCTGGCTAACACTGCTTGCCCTACCCTGGAGGTCCCCTGAGGCTCTGTCCCACCCAAATTATGGGTCCACCCAAGCTGTTAATAGTGGCTTTTCTATATGAATGGCTGGTCTTGGCTCATGCTTCACAACTTCCTAAATCCTGTCAAACAAGTAACAGCTGGCCTCAGTGAACCCCCAGCCCCCATATCTCTTGATAAGTGGCCTTATGCCTGGCAGTAGCAGCAGCCAGCTCTATATTCACAGCTTGGCTTTGCTTGGGAATCTGCAAGACCAGCACATGAAGTAGCCATCTCAGATTGCTTTAGAGTTTAGAGCTCAGGTGACCCAGGCAAAACACAGGTGGGGGCTGACCTTGGCTTGCACCTCCTGGAAAACCCCAGGGCCTCCGGAACCAGTGGACAGCTATAGACCACGTCGAAGCACCACTGCCTTGCTCCTACACAGCTGATCCTCCATGGAGGGTGGAGGCTGGTGGTCAGTGTCACTGGTCACAGCCAGTCCTTGCAGCTGACTGGCCTACGTAAGTCCCTCCCATTGATCTGCTGACAGCAATCAAACCTCAACTACAGAAGGGTGTACTCAGCCCACACGAAGGGTGCACCTTAACCCCTGGGTGATAGGGGAGGTTGTGACACTGGACCCTATAGGACACCTACTATATTAGGCCATGCTGAGACAGGGAGTCGTAGCAGCCCTACCTAATACATAGAAACAAACACAGGGAGCCTGCCAAAAGGAGGAGACAAAGAGACATGGCTCAAATGAAAGAACAAATCAAAACTCCAGAAAAAGAGCTAAACAAAATGGAGATAAACAATCTATCAGATGCAGAGTTTAAAACACTGGTTGTAAGGATATTCAAGGAACTTAGTAAGGACATCAACAGCATAAAAAAGATCCTGTCAGAAACAAAGGATACACTAATTAAAATGAAGAACAATTTACAGGGAAACAGTAGAGTAGATGAAGCTGAGAATCAAATAAATGATTTGGAACATAAGGAAACAAAAAACAACCAATCAAAACAAGAAGAAGAAAAGAGAATCCAAAAAAATAAGGATAATGGAAACAGCTTCTGGGATGACCTCAAGTGTTTCAACATTTGCATCATAGCGGTGCCAGAAAGAGAAGAGAAAGCAAGAAATTGGACCTCTATTTGAAAAACTAAGGAAAGAAAGCTTCCCTAATTTGGTGAAGGACATAGACAAGCAAGTTCAGGAAATACAGAGAGTCCTAAACAAGATGGATGCAAAGAGGCCCACTCCAAGACACATCATTATTAAAATGCCAAAGATTAAAGATAAAGAAAGAATCTTAAAGGTAACAAGAGAAAAGCAACTAGTTACCTACCGGGGAGTTCCCATAAGACTGTCAGCTGATTTCTCAAAAGAAACTTTGCAGGCTAGAAGGGACTGGCAAGAAATATTCAAAGTCATGAAGAGCAGGGACCTACAGCCAAGATTGCTCTACCCAGCAAAGATATAATTTAGAATCAAAGGGCAGATAAAGGGCTTCCCAGACCAGAAAAAACTAAAGGAGTTCATCATCATCAAACCACTATTATATGAAATGTTAAAGGGACTTATTTAAGAAAAAGAAGGTCAAAACTATGAACAATAAAATGTCAATAAATACATATCTGCCAACAGTTGAATCTAAAAAACAAACTATGCAAAGAAGAACAGAGAGATAATCATGGATACGGAGAGTGTTTTGATGGTTGCCAGATGGGAGGGGCGTTGTGGGGAGAATGGGTGAAGAGGTGAGGGAATTAAGAAGTACAAATAGGTAGTTACAGAATAGACATGGGGATGTAAAG